TGTCTCAACCCTTCCAGGTAGCTGAAGTCTTCACTGGTCATGCTGGTAAATTGGTGCCTCTTGAACAGACCATCAAGGGTTTCACTCAAATTTTGGCCGGTGAATACGATCACTTGCCAGAAGTTGCTTTTTACATGGTCGGCCCCATTGAGGAAGTGGTCGAAAAAGCTGACCGTCTCGCGAAGGAAGCAGCCTAAACAATAACAGGCTAAACTAATTACGCAACCATCAAACAAACAAAAAAAAAAACGAATAAAGCCAACAAAATCAGCATTCATAACCTAAGTAAAAGGTAAAAGTAGCAGAATGGAGTTAATATGCTTCACCAAAAAATTAGAAATATATTCGCTAATTAATGACATTTATATCGATTTAAGCTGCAAAGAGTCCCCCCCCCAAAAAAAAAGTGAAAAAAATGGTCTCATAATGATACCATTACTCCCGAGTTCGTTGAACGATTTCCAAAAGATACATTTTTAAGGATAAAAGTCGATGTAAAATGGGCAAAGTCACCATAAATTGTAAAAAAAATTACAAATAAAAGCTATAAAAAACACAAAATTAAACATTTTCATCTATTGATTACATGTTGTATGTTACGCAACAGTTCAGTAAGCGTTTTTGCGCAGAGGAGCCAGAGGCGTTGCCTTACTGTATCAATGTGTGCTTGTTCATGATTATTTCTAAAATTATGGGGATGGGGAGGGGAGAAAGAATGTAGAAATAATTTTGTTGAATTTGATGAACTTGAGGGGAATATGCTTAGTTGATAATTGAATTATAAAACACTTATGTGTTTGTTTCTTCTATGCATAATAGTTTAGCGAACACATATATGTTTACGTTCATGGGTCTTCGTAATTATGTTGCATGAAATTCTACTTAAACTTGACCACAAATAAAACATAACGATTGACCAGAGTATGGAAAGAAACTGTTTGGTTAAGTGAGTCCCGGAAGACGGATGGATAGCAGACAGCAAGCGAGCTTGTTCGCATAGTTTTTGGCCAACTAAAATCTCATCATATTTCATAGGAGAGCCTAAATATTTAACTACAGTCGCCGATTATTTGACCTTTAACCAAAAAAAAAAAATTTATTTAATTAATTCTGGCTGAGAATCGCACATTGTTTCTAGGAAATAAGATCGAATCATTTTGGGAACAACTTAAAAAAGAAGCAATAAGAAAATCGACGTATTTTCTTCCGTTCTTTCAAATAGTTCTCATCTAGTTAGAAAGAACCCAATAAAGTTGATTTAAAGAGAAATAAAACGAAATGAAGATGGTGCACTCGCTACTTTGAAGCTTCTCAAACGTGCATTTTAAATTGTACTTCTTCGTAAGGAAGAAGAAGCAAATGCACGAGTTGCCTTTACATTCGTAGTGTTTCAAACTGGATCAATTTTGAAAAATATTCATTTTTCACATTCCTGATAATACGTTTGTTTACGATCAGCGAATTGATTCGATAAATATTCATAATATATAGTAGACTTTTTGGATACCATACCATATTCGACAGCAGAGAGGGTACATGTACTAGATTCGTCATTTCATTCAATTAAAAAATTCATGGTCTGTAATAATAAAGTCGATATGTTTCTAATCACAGTTACATGCATTCTGAGTCAATTTAGCCATATGCGTATGGCATCTGTCATAATAATAATAAGGTTCTAAAAGACGTTTAATTGTGGAGACATCTTGACCTGCTTAAAATAGAATGAGATCTTTAGTGCTTAATGGCTATTGCTATAGTAAGCTAGACGTGATCTCCCGTTTGCAACATTTCGGGAAGAGTCCATTTTCCTCTCTTCATTTAATTCTACTTTGTTTTGTGTGTTTATCTATGGTTGATAAGTTCGCAGTTGCAAATATACAGAGAGAAAAAACTTAACTTTGCTTATTCGGACGACGGTCTCAATTGATTGTCGTAGATCAAGTTATAAAGTGGATCTGAAGCGCCTGCAAACGCATCCACAATTAACTTAATGCTAAACGTAAAAGTGAAGCCGATTAAGGGCAGAAGCACTAATGATCATAAAATGCCTGAGAGCCTTCAAAGTAGCAAATAATGAGAAGCTTTTTATTTGGTTAAAGTGATTTTTAATTTATTCATTTATTCTCGTCAAACCATTACGTAATTTCTCCAGTAAATGCTATAATGCTGCCATTTCTCCATGTTCAACCCGTGTCCAAGAAGGGCGAACCGCATAAATCCTGCTATATCCAAAATTACGGAAACATGGTAAGATAAGAAAGTAATGGTCTCATTTGCGGCAAACCGTATGGCTTTTGCGAAAATCGGTCCACTGGGGCTTAACGCTTAACTACCCCAGCGCGAAGTGGAGCGGAGCTATTTGGCGGATATCGGCGAAAATAAGATCGTTGCTTTGAATATCTAAAAGTCATTCGACTAAGTACCGCAATATGATGGCCTCTAAACTGATTGGGATTGGTATCGTTGGGAATTTGATACGATTCATGTCGAGTTTTCTGAACGACCGCTCAATAAGAATTGTAATTGGCGCATTTACCGCAAACAAATTGTACTTAGCTGCAGGGATCCCAGCAAGTCCTGTTCTTTTTCCTTCGCTTTTTCTGGTGATCGTCAACGATACAAAACCTTAGGTACTCGTTTGCAGATGACCACACACTGTCGCTCATTCTCGTTTACGTGGAGATCCATTAGGCTGCATGACGAACGACACATTAAATCGAGACGTCATAAAAATAAATAGCAAATAGAAGCAAATAGAAATAACTTTAATGTCCCCAAAACGAAGCTATCTTCTAATGCGTAAAGGGCATAAGGCTCAATCCCTCTCCCGGCAACCTTTTGGCCGAGAGAATATAAAATAAAATAAAATATAAAATATATATAAAATGATATCCTTCAGTTGGACATGTGTTCGAAGTGTCGTAAAACGCATTGAAGGGCTTAGGCTTTTTACTTCACTACAGCAAACATCCGGGCAATTTACGCCACCTCTATCTATCCGGCCAAAATTAGAGTGTAACACGCATGTGTGCGCGGTAGTCGCCAAATTTGGCTTGAAGACGTTCGACCGCATATAGCGAAAGGTGCTCATGGACGTAAGCGACGAAAGCGTGTCCAAAACTCTCGATACCTTCGAGAATCAGCGTAATGTGGTCTGTGCAGTGGTCTGGTGCAGTATCGCACACATTCTATGGAGATGAAAGAGATTTGTCAATCAAGTTCTTTAACAGAATTCAAAATATTTCTCAACTCGAATCTACACAAATATTATTCTCTCCTTCCATACTTGTTTCCTGACCACCATCTTGCCTGGACGTATAGCAGACATGCCGTGAGTGACTGGTCATATAAAAAGATAAAAAAAAAATAAAAATAGGCAGCCATTTACGGTATATAAAAAAAGCTTGAAGTTACTTATCCCTCGTAATTTAATTATAGATTAATAATATCTGCTTCAATAATAATACTAATAATGAACGCAGCTTACGGTAATTTATATTAAACATTTATACACACTCAATATCCGTTTATGTGATCACTTAATATGAAGATTGCTTTTCATTTCACTAAATTTGAAAAACTTTCAAAAAAGCTTTCAAAAAAAACGGAGAGACAGCGATGCGCGTTGTTATAACTGTTAAGCTCTCCTTTAAAAAAGCGATTAGCAATCGGCAGTAAACTTCTCTGCTACACTAAAAATGAGTTGGAAAAAAACAAAATTGAAACTAAAAAAAGTTTTTTGACTAAACTGGAAGAAAAAGAATCTCATCGACAACATTTCGAGATATGTTGACGCTCTGTGGTTGTATATATATGTGTGCGTGTATATGCAGTTAGTTTTGGCTTATTTAACATGGTCTAATGAAGCTGCCATCAACATGAACCAGTCTTCAAATATCCATGGTGCAGGCCAGTAATACTAGAAGTTTTGACGCTTTTAATTTTTATATTTAATTTTTTTGTATTTTAATAAAAAATTTTCAAGTTAAAAACATAATTTTTAAAGTTTAACAACACAACAAACTAAGCTAAAGAGAAAGAGAGAGAAAAAAATAACGCTTTTTAACGTTTTTTAAATTGAAAAAAATTCGTCATGAAAAATTCTTTATAATATTAAAAATTTTTTCTCTTACTTTCTAAAAAAGACGAATAAAAAATTTCCATCGGCATAAGAAATGGTAAGAGCTGCAGATATTTAACATTTAATATTCTCGGCGCATACACGTGTATATTATGACATATTTACCTATATTGACTTTATTTGTTTACATCACAAAACCGGCTATCAATTCAAAAACAAACGATTATTTAAAGAAAAGAAAAAATTTTTTCTTTTTTTGTTCGATAAGAATAAACGTGTAGATGTATGTATCTACCGTATAATATTTATTATTTAATTATGCAAGAAAAATGAACTGAATTATGCCCGCATCGAAATGACTCTCGGATAAGCGGAATCTTAAGGGAATGTATAGAAATTGAAGTCTTCTTTTTAATTACTTCTGTAACTGTGGACTGATAGACACTCCTTCTAAGCAAATATTGGTCACTTAAGTTACCAATGTCTTATAGTTATAGAAATATTTATTGTTTCCCCTTTTTTTTGAACATTGAACTTTAAATAAAGAAAAACACGTCTCTAGCCTGAATTTTTGATCTCATTGCTCATTTGATTATGACAGTCTTAATAGGCCGAGTAGACGGAACTATCCTGTGGACGGAGATGATCAAACGAGTAGGTACTTAATAAATAGTATCATATTATTAAGCATATCCTTACGCATTCCCTTTCTATGAAAGGTATGAGATAAAAAGATTTAGTTATTGTATCCACTAACGAAAGGCGAGTGTATACCTATCGCCTTCAAATTGGTTAGAAACATTGAAAGTTCTTGCACCTAGAGTAGGTTAGTAATGAGAATGGAGCAAATTCGTCAGTGGGCACATTACCGTAGTAAAGTGTAAGCTGAATGCAACTCTGTTCCTTTAAGCAAAAACTTGTGGGTTTTAAAGTGTAATAGAAAGCTGAAATTTTCAACATTTGCTTTATGGAAAATTCTACAAAGTTATAGGTCCTCAATGAGGATAAATTGTTTGCCTAAAAATGTGTTGATTCTACAAAAAATATGGTGGACACTACGACACTATGGTGGATTCATTTTTTCTTAATAATACCATCGATGTGGGTATGCAATAAAAGTTCTTGGAGAGTAGAAGGCGACAAGATAATTGTGTTAGTTTTAAATTAGATGTCGCGGTCGCTAAAGATTTTAATTGCGATTGATATCCGAGATTCGGATCCAGCCGCATGCAACTTTCTTCTCCATATACATATAGAGCATTTTCTTGAAAAACTGAATAGACAGACGGCCATCTTTGAGAATCGTTAGAATTGCAAAATAATTTTAGGGAGGTCTATCGATTGAAATTATTTTTATGCTAGACTTTAGATCGATGTCTTTTGTATAGCCTATAAGTTACAATCAATTTTGGCTAATGTGGGTTCGCCAATTACTTTTGTACGGCAACATGGCTTAATACATTTATAGCCCAACTAGGAAAAATTACACTAATTAATAATGATTAGATACAGAAATAAGAATCAGGACTTGAAGCGATAAGGTTGATACTGATAGACTACGATTCAAATTTGGGAGCTAAATCCGTTGTACGTGGCCTTCCTGAATCTTACAGATTATATATAAATTAAGTTTGAAAATACACGAATAATCGTGATCGTAATCGAAATTATTTTCACGCGAACCGTTCTTTACACTTACGAAACGTAACAAGTCTTTTGGCAGAAAGTAACCACTGGGAGAATTAGTTTGCCTAAACTAGGGGTATTAAGTGCGAAAAAGAAAACCGTACATTGTCCTTATACGTGAGTGAACGTACGAGTGTATATAGAATGTAAACTATTTTGTTTGGGCTCGCTGTGATTCGCAAAGCAGTTTTGTATTTCTATCGAATAGTTTTAGAATGTGTAACGTTATGTAGCATTATTTTTTACTTTTTACATTTCAACTTAAATATCTTTTAAATTAGGTTCGTGTCACTGAATTGTTTGCAGAAAGTTGCTTGCAAAGTTAAAGGAACTCATCTACAACAGATCGAGATTTATCATTTCTATAATACAATATCTCCATCCACTTAGGGGACAAAGATGCCTAATCGACTTCTATCCTTGAAGATCACGACTTAGCTCTTACGGCTTGAGTAAAACCTTTGCTTATAAAACAAATTGGAAAAGGGTCCTCGGCGGTTGTTGTTCCCCTTCTCCTCGTATATAGAGATCTCTGTATTCAGTTTATATTACATCTTTTATTTATTATTAAATAACTTTGGTTATTTCTCAGCTTCATACGAGGTATGTTCAAAAAAGTAATGAAAAAGTTAACGATTAAGTAGATAAAGAGTGGCTGGAAGGGCTTAAGGCCCTATCAAAAAAATGTGTATCGGAGCGGGTACGAGAGGATTGAAAAATGCTTGGAAAGAGAGTTGAAGGTGTAAATATTAAACGAGAAAAATTAAGATTCGCGTTATTTCTGAATACACCTCGCACTTTATTATATGATTTCCATTCATTGTTTTCCTAATAGTTTGGGAAATTTCCTTTACATCAACATTAGGCAGTTGCCGTGTGAATGCATCTCATCAAATATGAACTTATGCGTGTGTTTTGTGTGTCTGATGTTCTCGTAATATTGTATAGCAAGCAATAGTCTGAATATACAAAATGATTTTCTAATAAAATTCTTAGTGTCCGTCTTGCTCGTTCTGATAGGGAAGGTTCAACTCTTTTTTTTTATTTTATTTATTGGTTTAACCTGCTGAGTTAATCTCACACAAGTTACATACATAAATCGCTATATATCTCACATAAATTTTTCAATATGTGAAAGGTAGAAAAAAATAAAAATGATTTCTTTGTTATTTAAATTTCACTTCTCTTGGCAGTGAACCAATTAAGATCGGATTTGAATTAATATTATTATTATTATTTTATTATTATTATTTTTTTTTTACATTTATATTTGACCATATACAAACACCAACGTCTTCTTAGCTTTTTCTACTCAAAATTTCGGAAAAAAATGAACACCTCATGGACGTTATATGAAGCAACCAATTTCAATATCCAGAATTCATTAATATAACTAATAAATGAATTTGCTTTGGTACTGAACGGTATTCAATTGAAATGAAAATATGTTCAGCTTATCCGTGAATTCTTTATGGAAAAACTATTCGCAAATATATTACATTAGGTACTGTGATTGAAATGTTAAGGTGGCGGCAGATTAAACGAATGCATTGTAATCGACATTGAACGTGTGCAGATATAGGAGATAACGTTCCTCAATGTGAAACAACTAATCTTTTTGGAGATACATAACGTACGCTACATAAGCTTGGGATAATAAGCGAGTTTTGTTTTCGCTATAAGCAAAATTGCACAAATATATGTAATACGTAAGCCCTTTTTGTTTATTATTATTATTATTATTTATAATTTAGTCTGAGAAATAAATTTTATGAACTAAGATAGGTCATAAAGCAGTAGCACGCATCTAAGGCTTTATCGGCTTTATTTGAAAGTCTACCTCGTATTTGAGATTTTATACCACGATCATCGACTTGTTAATCGAGAACTTTTGCCTACTCAGTCACTCAACTTCGATATGCATCGAAGGTTTTGTACATATGTTTTTATCGTCATGGTGAGTTTTGATTCGTTTAAATCATATAGGAGCCTTTTAAATGTTATCTAGATTGATATAAAAGTTCCTTCACATAGATTCGCGCATATACCTCATGGGACGTTTGTTAGCGCCTTTTGTATAAAATTTGCTATGTAAATAATTATGCTCGAGAAATTTTGTATGCAGATGTCGTGTAGATCTTTGAATGAAATGAATACCAAAAATGATATGGTCGTTCGGCGAAATGACGATCAGGAAAGCAAAGTGTCACAGGGAATTTTGTATTTATTCGCATTCATTCGTTCGCTGTATTTCAGTTAGATCAGATTCACAAATCAGTTATGTTGAGAGTCAAATCAACTAAGTCATCGATTTGAATTATTTTATTTTATACGAATTACTTTGCTGGTCGTAATTATGCTTAGCGCATGTTCACTATCGTGGAGTATTACGTGACTCTTTCAAAATCAAGTCGTTGATATCGAAAGCATTAGTTTAAGGCGAATATAAATATATGAGTTGCTTTCCTTCTAATTTATGAGTTACTTTGTGAAAATTACATATGCATAGCGTATATTCACCATCGTAGACTACTCAACTAAGTAGTTGGTATCAAAAATATTAGTTTA